GCACCCAAGCAAATCTTTTACTTTAAAATCTGTACCCCCGGTTCATGTCATGGGATATGGGGTTTAAATTCTTTTGAAAACAGGGCCTTTCCCAAATACCATAAGCCGTGCCACAGATGGAGCCTGCTGCATTAACACGAAGAGTGAGGCAGATTTCCTCCTCCAAAATTAGGACATCTTTTCAGGGACTGCCAGTGCTGAAAGCAAGAGAGACAGCAGCGATTGTGTTGCTGTCAGCGGCATCCCGCCAGGTAGCACTAACCTGGGAACAAAAGGAACAGTTAGAGCTGGCAGGGTGCTGGGCTCTTATCCTGCTGCAACCTTGAGGACTGGAGGAAAAAAAAGAAAAAAAAATCCTGTCCCTGTTTAAGGGTCAGAAATAAAAGCAGTGAGAGAGGCAGCTCGGTCTTACATGCCTCTGGGGGAACCAATTGGTGTCCAGCTTCTCAGGACAGTACTTGGAAGCACCTTCTCTCATCAGTGCCATAGCCAGGGGTGGGTAGCCAAGTCCCTGGCGTTTTCATTTTTCTGGCCCCTCTTAAATGTTGCCATAGAAACATCTAAATTATTACAAAATGGAATTTTCTGTGTGTGAAGATTACTCCAACAGAGAATTCCAGCTGACTCCAGGACGGCAGTCCAGGTGGGATATGTGGTTCAGTCTCATCTGCGGTGACTTATGGGATGCAGGGCAGAGATGAGCCCCCAGCCTGTTTAGCCTCATTAAAAGGAGCAGCTGGATGCTGTAAACTCCCTGCCGTGATGAGGGAAGCTGGTCTGGCCCAGCATTACAGAGCCCTGGGATCGGGCAGTGGGAGAAAGGCAAACTGAACAGGGAAAAGCCGAAACCTGAAAGTCTCGTCTGTCCTTTGCAATGAGTGTCTTACTCTCTGATAACTGCTTTGTGTATTTGCTGTCCTACCCTTATTCCTCGCTGCTCAGACTGTCTTTGGAGGTTATGACCATCCTCTGTCGCTGTGAGAATATTGAGACGTCGGAGGGGGTCCCACTGTACGTAACAGGGGTTGCACAGGTAATAATGCACCAGCTTCCTAACATTGTGTCTAACTGTTTATTCCTCTGTTTTGAGCAGCAGCAACAGCAGCAGCAGCAGCAGGATAACGTTAAAAACTAATGGTTTTCTAATGGGGCAGTTGAAATCTCAATACCCTCCTCTCCTTCCCCTTCTCCGGCACTTGTCCTGGGGCGCACTCCACAGTTTATAGGTAATGCAGACAGATGCATACTTGGCAAATTCCAAATTCCCCATCGATGTACTGTCTGCTTCTGATAACGCAGCAGACATTTGCTCCAGCTGTAACCCTTTCCTCGACAGCCCTGTTTCCATTGTGTGCTTGGTGGCAAGCAGAAGGGCATCCACTTTTGTGCGGAGCCCCAAGCAGGCCAGGTTGGGTTCTGTACAGGATTTGGGGCAGGTGGAAGGGCAGGTTTTGTGCCGTTTCAAAAGGAAACCTGTACACGTGTGGGGAAATTGCCACTGTACCTGGCTCTGCAGTGTTGGATGTGGGTTTCTGCTCAGCCCTCCTTCCTCCACATGGGGACAGTGCCCATTTTGGATGTTGTCACATTTGAAAGTACAGCATAGAGACCTTGGATGAGTTTCAACATACAGGACTAGCATTTGCACTGTGAGCAGTTACAACCTATGTAACAGTAATTACCAAATATCCCTGTGACTTGCCAGCTAAGAAGCAGCACAGTATTGAAATTAAATTCGAAGTATAGATTAGGTCTTCATACGGCTAAAATCCTGCACTAGCTGATTAAAGCTGTGAATGCATATGGCAAAAAATGCCTGTGTGCATCCTGGACAGTGGGATCTGTTTTATCAGTTCCCGGCTTGCGTGCCAGTTTAATTAGGACAGTGGCCAAGGCAGGCATGAACTTGCAGAGATAAGTTTTGGCACCTCCAGCCAATCCTGGAGTAACTTGGCGCGCACGCAGCAGCCCAGTGCAGCCCCTTTGTGGTTCAGATGTTTGACCTAATGTTCACTGACACAAGCTCTCTGCCCTGTGGCTCCCTGTCCTGACTCCTAACGCTTTCCCCACTTGTTATGGCTGACACGAGAGTCAGGCTTTGCTTCCTAAAGCAGAACCTGCCACAGCCAAGTATGTCTCTTTGTTTTACCAGATCATGAGCTGCAGATTGCTGGCTCTGGCCAAAGTACCTCGAGCCCACCTTGGGTGACTGAGAAAGCTCTGGAGCTGCAGGATCTGTTCTGGGGTGCCTGATACTATACAGGCATGGCCATAAAGAGCTGGAGACTCACTCCTATCGGCCTTTGGGTCACGGGACGCAGGAAAAATAGAGAGAGAGAGGTGAACCAGATCAGGGGGTAGGTCTGTGTTAATGCTAACCCAGGGAGGGCAAAGGCAGGGCTGCTTCTTGCAGCATCAGCGCCAGGTTTTGCCAAGCACCAGGGCTCCTGTGGGGGTGGCAGCGCAGGGTGGGCGGGAGCATCCCAGCTCCATGCTGTGCTTTTAAACCAGTGACACCAGCGAGAGCACGCGCTGCCCCAGCGTTGGGCAGCGTGGCACAGTGAGCCTCTGATGGAGGGCCCTTTGGGGTCCCAAAGCTGCTAGCCTCTGGCTACCTTGCTAGGCCAGCAGAAGGGAAAGGGTCACAGTATCGTTTGCAGTCTGGCTCCCAGCCTTTCTTTGCTGATAAATTGCCTTTAAGCGTTATCTGAAAATCTCTGTCTTGGCCAGAGTGACTTGTCTGTCTCTGGTCACAGATGCAGTCCCTTGGCTGCACACTGCACCTGTCTTGCATTACCTGTGATGAGTGCGGCAGGTAGCCCGGGGCAGGAGATGCAAGGGGAAGAGCTGAGTGTGTGTTACCTGGAAACGTGCAAATATTTTACGTTTTTTGGCAGGATTTCCCTAGAGATAATGACGTTACAGCCCAGGTGTGAGGACGTAGAGACGGCGGAGGGGGTAGCTTTAACTGTCACAGGTGTGGCACAGGTACAGTAACTCCAAAACATCATTTCAGGAATGCATGTCTCTAACTTACATCTGGTTTTCCCCCTTAAGAGGTTGCTGTTGTCCAGGAACAGAAGTCAACTGCTCTGAAACAAATTCTTGTACAAAACCGCGCTGTCCTCGTGGGTTCAAACACACTGCGGCATGTCCCGTGTTGTGAAGGGGGTTGTGACCTCTCCTCCTCTCCTCAGAATCACTCCTCTTTTTCTGGTGTCTCATTTGTCCACGTGGCAAATGAGGTATGTGGGAGTGACTTGATCTGTTTGTGAAACGCTGATGTACCACGGTGCCCTTGGAGCTGTGTGTGACCCTGCAGGACTGAGCCATTCGCTCCTGAGATGGTATCGAGCGTTATGTTGCTTTGGATTATTATTATTAGCATGTGGACCTTGTAATTCTTCACGGTGAGTTAAAGTTTAAAGAAATAACTTGGTTCCTCCAGGCACTAAAATTTGTGTATAAAATTTCTGGCTTGAATTGAATTTTGATTCTCTCGAGCCTTCTTCATATGTGAAAACCAGCTCTTGCTGCTTGTGGTAGCACGCTTAAACACCTGCATTTCTTAGACTCCAAGGTCTGCTGCCCTGATACAGTCTGTCCTTGTGACCAGGTCCTGCCATGGCGAGGATACTGGGAAGAAAACGTTGTTAGCTTTCAACTGAATTTGACTCCTCAAATAGGCAGCTGGATGCTTTGATTGAAAATTGCTCCTGACAGCTCCCTCTGGGTGTATAAAACCAAGATAGCGATTCTCAGAGTGTGCACAAGGCTGTGGTCACCGTGTGTCCAAGGCATGCCCAGGTCTGTTGTTGCAGGAGAGGTGACTGCCACGTTCCCTGTGGTGAGCAGCTGGAGCTGAGGGGAGCTGCTGAATGATGCAGTGATGTGACCAAAATCCCACGTGCGTCAAAAGGCTCCCCCCAGGGACAAGCACCGTGGCTGTTGCAGCCCTTTTAAGACCAAGCACTTGACAGATTTCACCCAGTGCTTTCCAGAGCAGCGGATTCCTCCCTAGGTCCATTGGTTTGCTCTAAACTGACGTTGCAGAGGAGCTGCGTGCCATGTCTGTGCGTAACTGAGGATATGAATTCAGCCAGGAGCAGTTTCTGGATTGTCGCACATGGCAGAAGGGCTGGGCACAACCGTGGCTCAACAGTGGATAATCTGTCGCCCCACTGCTGTTGGGGAACATGGCTACGTGCAAGAGCACCAGTACGGGAGCCAGCATCTTGGGCTCATCGTGGCTCTAATTGGTGTGAACCAGCATACTTGTCTTCAATTTTTCAGTTTTTTATATCCATTTAGCTGCTAATGTGTCACATAACCACAGTGGTCTTTGCATGGTTGGCAAAATGCATGCACTCATGTCTTTCCTCACACACATTTCATAAATCTGTAGGCTTTTTCCTTCTGTATTTGGAAAAGGTATTTCTGTGAAGCCAGCATTCCTTTTTGACCTAGTTTTGGGACATCCTTCCATTGCCTGCAAAATGGTCTAGGGTGGGTGGCACGTGGTAGCAGAAGGCTGGATCACCAGGTGCCTTGATTTAAAAATGCAGCTCCCAATTCACCTCATTCATGTTATTCTCTCTTTTCACTGTTCATTTTTTTCCACAGTCCATTAATTTTAAAGGTTTAGAGTTGTGAGATGCAAGGAATTACCATGCAGAAAGCAGGCTTGAGGCAGCTGGGGACATGCATGGCAGAAGTTACCTTAATTTTGCAGAAATACTTTTGAGGCAAACATTTTTCTTTTAAGAACTTGTGCAAAAAAGGAAAAAAGCAAACAGATTATTACTAGAGAAATAACCTTTTAAAATGTTTGCCGTAATGCTAGAAGTGCTTAATGTGCCTAAGGATGCTGTCCTTTTGAAGAGAGATGTAATGAGTACTCACCAGTAGCCTCCTTCCTGTGTTGGCTGGGTGCTTGGGGTGCACTGGGATGCTGCTGCCTTACGCCATGCTGGGCTTTGTATCCTTCCGTACCATTTTTCTGAGCCTCAAGCTAATTGGATTGTCTCTGCTCACCCCTTGCTGTGATTGCAGCTGGCTGGAGCTGGGTGCAGCAGTATCGATCCTCCAGATGGGATTGTTTTATAGAGGCTCTCTGATTTCCTGCCAGCTAAACTCTCTCTCTGATGTGAATGACATTTGAAGAAGCACCAAGTGTCGCAGTGCCCTGTCTGAAATACTGGAAACAAGCTGAGCGCAAATTGCTCAACTCTGTTTTGTGCAACCTTTGCTTTGTAGGTTGACATCCATATTGAGCGGATAGCCAGGCTCGTTCGGGCTCCCCGGGCTTTACTGGCATGGGCAGAGTGCTGGCTGGCTTTATTCACAGAGGCTGAATCGTTCCTTGCTCCTGTTAAGTACTGCAGGGACTCTCTTAACAAACATCCCGCTCTGTGCTCTGACTGTCCTCTCTGTAGCTCCCGAGGGGTGGGGATTGTTTAGAGAGGTGGAATTGCTGGCAGATGCACACCATAAACGTTTCTGCTGAGTCTAATTGGTTTTGGTATTTGCAAAAACCTCCTGTTTGCTGCAAGATGAGCCTTGTGCAGGGCGCAGGCGCCCGGGTGCAGCTGCGTGAGCAGCTCTTCCAACTCCCCCTTGTGTAGAAAGTGCACACTGCTGGCCCAGGGTGCAGGGACAAGAAACCGCTGTGGCCTGGCCCCGTAAGGAGCCCAGAGGTCTTGGGGAGAAAGCAGAACAGGATTACCACGCTTGCCTGAGATGCAGTTTGGCGTTCTGACTGGGAGACCCAGCCAGAGAAGCAAAGGTAGAAAATAGCCTCAGCCCAGATTGGTGTTTCTTCATGTTACCTAGGGGTAGGGTTGTGGCAGCTGAGTCTTGGTCAGCTTGCCACATCTAACATGGTCCACCTCCAGTCCCCTTAGAAGATGGTGGCCAGTCCCAGTTGTCCTGCTTTCTGGCAGTGCTGGGGCTGGGTGCTGCTGCTCAGCTCCGGAGGTTGGGCTGCAGGATCGTTTTGTACTCGCAGGCTATCAGACCAGGCTTTCTCAAGAAATAGTTGTGTTGCTTTTGCCAGAAGTTTGACCCTGAAAAGGAGTCTTGTAGGTGGCAGGATGAGGTCTGTAGATCGTGAACCTATCACGAGCGTGCATTGGGACCCTTGTAGGGCCCCTGTGCTGTGCCTGAAGCTTTGGAGGTCTCTGAGCCAGGACCGTGCTGGCGTTGCAGGTAGCAGCAGGTCCAGCCAGGGCCCATGGGGCAGGATGCAGGGTGCCACTGGCATCTCATGGGACAGGAGGCACTGCCCAGCCCAGATGCCTCCATGAGAGGGTGCTGTGGGACCCGCTCAGCACCCAGAGGTCCCAGCAGAGCTGTGTGGCTGATATGGCCCTGCTGCCTTCTCTGGTGCTGCCAGACACACAGACGTCCCTGTGTCCAGGCTTTGCCTGAGCCCTCGGACCGGACCTGGCCACCAGGAGCTGTCACCTTGGTGTCACCATCCATAGCTGTCACCATCCATAGCTGGATCCTATAGAGCTCCATGAGCACACACCTCCACTGCCTAATGTACTCCATAGGGATTTTTAACCCACTTTGCCTTTGAAAAGCAGCCCCATGACCAGCAGGACCATCTTAAGACTCTGGCTTGGCTGGACCTGGGGATGCTTTTACGGCTGGCTCTGACTGTGGGTGGTGAAAGCAGCGCTGGGGCGGCTGTCTCCCACCTCTGGGGATCGTTACCAGACTGACCGTATGGAGCGGGACAACCAAGTCCTGGCCATGGCACATTGGGGTGGAGCTCCCAGCCACGAGCAGGACAAACCAGTGTGCTACGGCCATCTCGTCTCATCTCTCCTTGCAGGGTACATCGAATGGAGCCCCTGTTCCCAAGCTGTTCCTTGGGCATTTCAGACTCTTCCTTGTTCTCTGCCTTTCCTGTGTCGGAAAAATTATTTCTAGTGAAGGAGGAGGAAGAGAAAGGTAATGAAATGGCTTTTGGCCAGGGGCAGTCACAGAAAGCCCTCTCCTCCTAGGTCTGGTGTTGGTGCAGTGGCTGAACGGGTAGTTCAGGGCTCTTTGGTAGAGTTTTCATCAGGTGGGACTTGTAGGGCCAGGTTCTGTCCCCACATCACCCAGTGGCCGTTGCTGTGGGATAGATGGCTGCAGGGAGCACCTCTCCACGCTGAGCTGCAGTCAGGGTTTGGAGAGGTGTCTGCCCCGGACGCTGGAACTGCTGTGTGTGCCTGCAGCAGGACTCTCCCCAGCAGCAGCGAGTGGGGGCTCGCTGGCTGGCCTGGTGGCCTGGCTCAGTGTGGTGACAGCTCAGCATGGTCCCTTGGAGCACTGGTAGCACAGGGGCCTGGCAGCGTGGTGGTGGTACTGCTGCTTCTGCTGCTGCTGCTGCTGTTGGGTGCCTGTCCCTCTTCAGATAGACACCTTCAGTCCCTTTGGTTTTGTCTCCTGTCTCTAGGTGAAGATAATGACCGAGAAGGAGCTCCTGGCTGTGGCCTGTGAGCAGTTCTTGGGGAAGACCGTGCAGGATGTGAAGAACGTGGTCCTCCAGACGCTGGAGGGGCATCTGCGCTCCATCCTAGGTGCGGAGGGGCTCACGCTCTTGAAGACATCTTGAGTAGCTTTCTCCCTTCTCTGCTGGCTGGTCCCAGCAGTATTTCTGCCGCCGCAGCAGCCACAACAGGTGCTTCCTCTGCTGACCGCAGAGGTGGCATCTTAGGTTGTTCTTCCCCTACGGCACCTCCTGCTGTGTGGCTGGGTGTTGTGATAAATAAGTTTGCAGTGCCTGCAGGAAGAGATGTCTGAGTCCCCACGGGTTACAGGTGGCACGTGTGTGTGGTGGTTGCACTTGTGAGACTGAGATGTTGGTGCACACTGCAAGGCCTGGGCAGAGGGTTATGCCCTTGTGCCCAGACCTGAAGAGATTAGGGGCAACGAGGATGTTGCCGAGCTTAGATCCACACCGCTGTGTGTTATCTGTTCCAAATAAAGTGCTTCGCCTTCCTTCCCTCTGCAGGTACCCTGACAGTGGAACAGATCTACCAGGACAGGGATCAGTTTGCCAAGCTGGTGCGGGAGGTGGCAGCTCCTGACGTGGGTCGCATGGGTATCGAGATCCTGAGCTTCACCATCAAGGTACGCCCAGACGTAGGGTGCTGCGCTACGGGGCACCTGGCAGCACTGTAGAGGCAGCGCAACAGAGCCTGGCCCTGGCTCCTCTGCTGCAGCTGGCTGAAAGGCTCCGGCTGACAGCCTGCCCCAGCCCTCCGGGAGTTTCCATGACAGCCGCCACAGCATGTCCTGTATCCAGGCAGCTGGGCGAAGAGCACCTGGTAGCTGCCTCTGTAAACAGGGCTTGTGGAAAGAGCTCGCTGATAACTGAGCCTCCAGAGAGTCAGAGGGAAGATGTCGCCTCTCCCTGTCACGCCTGTTTCTGTTTGGCCGCAGGCTGACATGGCTCGTTCTGACCCTGGCCTAACCGCACAAGTGGTTGCTCTGAGCTTCAACAGGAAGGGAGCAAGATGCAGTCATTCGCTGGAAGTGGTTCTGACTTACCTTCTCCTCTCCAGGATGTCTATGATAAAGTGGATTACCTGAGCTCCCTGGGAAAGACTCAGACTGCGGCTGTCCGAAGGGATGCAGACATTGGTGTGGCAGAAGCCGAGCGAGATGCTGGCATTCGGGTGAGTCCAGAGACGTGCTGGGCTTCCTTGGAGCAGCCTGTTTTGCTCCAGCTGCACACCCTGGAGCTCTGCTCTCTGTTTCCTCTCTGCAGGAGGCAGAGTGCAAGAAAGAAATGCTGGATGTCAAGTTCATGGCAGATACCAAAATAGCAGATTCCAGACGGGCTTTCGAATTGCAGAAAGCTGCCTTCAGTGAGGAGGTCAACATTAAGGTGAGAGGTATCCCACAGCCCACCACCGTTCCCTGGCTGGTTCATGATGGTATCGGTAGCTCTGGGACTTGCCAGCTTCCTCCTCCTGCATGTGTTAGGAGAGCTGGAGGTGGAGAACCCAGGTTTCTCTGTCACAGTGTCAGCTCCTTGCAGCAGATTGCTCTCCTGTTTGCAACAGTTAGGTGGGACTAGGAGGAGGTGGAAGGATGGGGAGGGTCATCTAAGCTGAACCCAGAGCTGGTTCAGCTCAAGTACTGTGGGAATAGCGCACAGGGAAGGACAGCAAGTGCAGCTCTGAGGATAGGGATGTCACCTCTGAGTGGAGGTTTGGTCCAGAGCAGGAGCGACGTCTGTTTTCAGGGCCTGCCAAGGGTCCTTATGTCTGCACACAGCAGATCATGGCCAAGACCCCTCTTCTCTCCCCTGTGCAGACTGCGGAGGCCCAGCTGGCCTACGAGCTCCAGAGTGCGCGGGAGCAGCAGAAGATCCGCCAGGAAGAAATTGAAATAGAGGTGGTGCAGCGCAAGAAGCAGATTGATGTTGAAGAGAAGGAGATCATCCGGATGGAGAAGGAGCTGATAGCCACTGTGAAGCGGCCGGCCGAGGCCGAAGCCTACCGTATCCAGCAGATCGCCGAGGGCGAGAAGTGAGTGAGCCCATGACCTGGTGCAGCCCTGAGCCCAGCTGCACGCTGGGTCAGGGTGAGGTGGAAGTGAAGTGCAGCGGGTGCTGCCTGAGCCCCAGCTCGTGGGCAGGCACGTGGCTGAACGGAGGGAGGGAAGCGCTGCTGGGTACGTTGCAGGGATCCGGGCTGCTGGAGGGCTGGGTTTCCCTTTCCAGGGTGAAGCAAGTCCTCATTGCTCAGGCGGAGGCAGAAAAGATCCGTAAGATGGGAGAAGCAGAGGCCTATGTAATTGAGGCCATCGGGATGGCGGAGGCTGAGAGGATGAAGCTGAAGGCTGAAGCACTCCAGCAGTATGGAGAAGCTGCCCAGCTGGCTCTAGTGCTGGATGCGCTGCCTGAGGTGAGGAGGGAGCAGCTTTCCCCAGCTCTGTGCAAGTGGTGGGATGTTCCCAGGCTGGGCCAGGTCTCCTTGGGGCCCAGAGAGGCCCCATGAGCTTGGCCAGCAGGCTGGGGAGCAGCTCCTTGGCTCTCTGCTCATCCTGCCCTCCTTCCCTGCCTCCCCAGATCGCTGCCAAAGTGGCTGCTCCCCTCTCCAAAGTGGACGAGATCGTTATTCTCAGCGGAGAGAGCAGCGACAAAATGTCCGAGGTGAACCGTCTGCTGGCCGAGATCCCCGCCTCTGTGCGTGCCATCACCGGTGTGGATCTCACAAAGGTGAGCTGGGCACCCCGCAGCTGGAAATTCCTGCGGCTCTTAGGGCGCAAGGACTTGCCTGAAAACTTTCAGATTCCTAGGGAGCCTCTCCTTCCCCAGGCCTGCCCAGCCGCAGAGTGTGGGCAGCTGCCTGCCTCCCCCTCCTCCAGCCCTAACAGCTTCTCTCTTCCCCTCCTTACAGATCCCCCTGATCCAGAAAGCCACCGGGGCCCAGGCATGAGGCTGGCCAACCCAAAGCTAGTGAAGATCACTCCCTGTTATGCACTCAGACATCAACTGCCTTCAACACGTGGGAATTCCTTTTATATCAAAGACAATTGGAGTTTCATTTTTAAGCTCTGGTGCCTTATTTTGTAGGGCCAGAAAGATGCATGTCCAATCAGCTGCTCTTTTTATTACAAAGGGTGGGAGGGGATTTATTTTGTAACTAACTGTATATTGTATCGGGCCAGGGCTTGGATCTGATCCCCAGTTATGACTGGCAGCTTGTCTGGTGTTGCAATCCCGGTGCCTTGCTCTTCTCTGTCCTTGGGCGCCTGCCCAGAGCTCGGAGCAGAGGCTCGGCAGGACATGGGGCACAGAGTGTGGAGCTGTAGGAAGAGAACAGCCAGGACCCACCTCTCCTGGGCTCCCTGCCCTCCCGCAGCGACCCTCCTGGGCACCGCCCAACCGCTGCCTCTGCCCACAAGTTGTTTTTGTGGCTGGCTTTCCCCGTCTGAGTGTCTGCCTGCAGGGCCCCTGCAGTGCTGGCAGTCCTGCCCAGGCTGGGCCTCCTGGAGGCGGCAGTCGCAGCCCCGGGAGGGTGGCAATCGGGCACTGCCCGTGCATGCTGCAGTCGGTGCCCCCTCTCATGCTGCTGTCCCTCAGGGAAGTTTCCTCCCGAGATCTGGAGGTGGGAGAGCGCGGGGCAGGGGGCTGATGGAGCGTTAGTGGAGGGAGCCCAACTCGGCCCTGCTCTGAGCCAGGCTTGGCGAGGTCCTGCCACCACAAATGCCAAAAAGTAGCGCTGTGCCAAAGCCACCCCCTCCTCCGAGAGGGAGGCGAGACCCCCGAGGCTCCTGTCCCCAAGTGCTGTGGTACAGCTCGACCCTGACAATTACTAAAGCCACGGGCCAGAGGGCCGCGGGGGACGGGCAGGGCTCTGCGGTGGGGACGGGCTCCTCCATCACCACGGCCTGTCCGGCTGGCGGGGGG